GCCTGCGCGATGACGTCATAACCTGGGGACGGGTGTGCGACAGGTGAGTGACGTCACAGGTTTTGCCTGTGCCCGACTGCGCCTGCGCGATGATGTCATAACCTGGGGACAGGTGTGCGACAGGTGAGTGACGTCACAGGTTTTACCTGTGCCCGACTGCGCCTGCGCGATGACGTCATAACCTGGGGACAGGTGTGCGACGCGACAGGTGAGTGACGTCACAGGTCTGACCTGTGCCCAACTGCGCAATGACGTCATAACCTGGGGACAGGTGTGCGACGGGTGAGTGACGTCACAGGTTTTACCTGTGCCCGACTGCGCCTGCGCGATGACGTCATAACCTGGGGACAGGGGTGCGACACGACAGGTGAGTAACGTCACAGGTTTTACCTGTGCCCGACTGCGCCTGCGCGATGACGTCATAACCTGGGGACAGGTGTGCGACAGGTGAGTGACGTCACAGGTTGGACCTGTGCCCGACTGCGCCTGCGCGATGACGTCATAACCTGGGGACAGGTGTGCGACAGGTGCTAAACTGGTTCATACTGGTTTATACTGGTTTGTATTAATTTATTACACTCGGATTAATTATATTAATTATTCGTAAATTATTAATTTTAATTACAATATTATAATGTTCACTATTAATAATTATATTAATTCATTAAACTGGTTTGTACTGGTTTATACTGGTTTGTACTGGTTTATACTGGTCCATACTGGTTTATACTGGTCCATACTGGTTTATACTGGTCCATACTGGTCCATACTGGTTTATACTGGTTTTTTACCTTTGATGCAGGGTAATATCGCCCTCTGCTGGATCGCTGAGGGTTTCTCCAAGCCGTAGGCCTGACTGGTCTATACTGGTTTATACTGGTCCATACTGGTTTATACTGGTCCATACTGGTTTATACTGGTTTATACTGGTTTTTTACCTTTGATGCAGGGTAATATCGCCCTCTGCTGGATGGCTGAGGGTTTCTCCAAGCCGTAGGCCTGACTGGTTTATACTGGTTTATACTGGTTTATACTGGTGTATAGTGACATATACCGAGTTATACTGGTCCATACTGGTCCATACTGGTTTATACTGGTCCATACTGGTTTATACTGGTTTATACTGGTTTATACTGGTTTTTTACCTTTGATGCAGGGTAATATCGCCCTCTGCTGGATCGCTGAGGGTTTCTCGAAGCCGTAGGCCTGACTGGTTTATAGTGGTTTATACTGGTGCATACTGGTTTATACTGGTTTATACTGGTCCATACTGGTTTATACTGGTTTTTTACCTTTGATGCAGGGTAATATCGCCCTCTGCTGGATCGCTGAGGGTTTCTCGAAGCCGTAGGCCTGACTGGTCCATACTGGTTTATACTGGTCTATACCGAGTTATACTGGTTTATACTGGTCCATACTGGTTTATACTGGTTTATACTGGTTTTTTACCTTTGATGCAGGGTAATATCGCCCTCTGCTGGATGGCCGAGGGTTTCTCGAAGCCGTAGGCGTAGATCCCCCTCAGCAGCGCCTCCGACAGGTTCATCTCGTCAAAGCTGTCCACGACCTCGTGCCAGTTGCTCTGCACCAGGGGGAAAAAAACCAGTCAGAACCAGTAAAAACCAGTCAGAACCAGGAAAAAACCAGTCAGAACCAGGAAAAAACCAGTCAGAACCAGGAAAAAACCAGTCAGAA